GTTGTCAAGGACTTCATTCTTCTTGGATCAACTGTCAACACTCGTGGAAGCAGCAGTCAAGAGATCAGACGACGTATTGCATTGGGCAAATCTGCTTCACAGGAACTTTTTAAAGTACTGAAGAGCAGAGGTGTCAGCTTGAGGACTAAGGTGCACCTGACCCAAGCCATGGTATTTTCAATAACCCCATATGGATGCAAAAGCTGGACAGTGAATAAGGAAGATCGTAGAAGAATTTATGCCTTTGAGTTATGGTGTTGGAGGAGAATACTGACAGCACCGTGGACTGCCAAAAGAACCAATAGATCTGTTTTGGAAGAAGTGCAACCAGAGTGTTCCTTGAAGGCCAAGATGGCTAAGCTTCGTCTCTCCTACTTTGGACACATCTTCCGGAGAGAACAGTCGCTGGAGAAGGATGTCATGCTGGGTAAGATGGAGGGTCAGAGAAAAAGATGAAGACCCCCAACGAGATGGATCAGCCAGGTGGCATCATGGATGGCGTCAAGTGTGGCAGCAGTAGTGAGGTTGGCCCAGGATCGCACATTTTTTCATTCTGCTGTGCATGGTGTTGCTTTGAGTCGGTTCTGACTCGAAAGCACCTGACAACAACAAAAATATTGGTGTATTTTGAAATGACTTTTTTTTAAAATATATATTAGGGTAAATCTGGAGTCGTGGTGTGGCACTATAGGATAAGTGCATGACTTCAAGGTCAGCTTGACAGGGTTGGCTGTTCAAACTCACCAGCTGTACCTTGGAAACCCTATACTGGGTTGCTTTGAGTTGGCACCGACTAAATGGCACTTAACAACAACAGGGTATATGCTGTATGTTATTGAAATTCATTTCACCTGTTTCATTTTAAGGAGTCCTATGTGAGTTAGGCATTGGGTTGCTACCTGCAAGGTTGACAGTTCAAACTATGAAGCTGTTTGGTCATATAAAGATTAGTCTTAAAAATCTTATGAATTGCTATGAGTCAGCATCGACTCAGTGGTTTGGGGGAGTTTCAGTTTATGTTTTTCCAATATTGTTCTTATTAAGTGCTGTTGAGTCAGTTCCAAATCATAGCAACCCTGTATAGGGTTTTCAAGGAGCAATTGGTGGGTTTGAACCACCGACCTTGCCATTAATAGTCCAGTGAGTATCCTACAGTGCCACACCTGGATATTGAAAAATGTAAATTAAAATTTACAATATGACTTACATTATATTTCCACTGGACAGTTCTGGTCTAAATTTTAAAACATTGTATTCAAATAAATAGCATTAGAAACAGATTCCTCCTTCCATGGGTTATTTTCATGACTAAGAAGAAGTCTTTTGTGCATGATTCTTCCCATGAATAATGGGATAACCTTTCTTTTTGTTACTTCATAGGAACACTGTTTTTCTTAGGGTTTTGTTTTTTAATATGCACAGTAGATCAGTGAATATGTTGAATTTCATACTCAGAAGTGCATGTAATAGTGGTTTTATTAGATAAAGCAAAGATTCTTGACTCTCTAGCCATGGATATATTTCAGAAATTTATTTTAAATATTGAATATCTGGCCCATGATTGGAATTTAATAATTAATTGCTGTTTTCTTGGTTGAATTTCATTTCAAGTATATCCACAAAAATAATTTTATCAGATGTGTAGGAGGTAGGGGGAAAAACAACCAACCTTGTTTAAAATAGCCTTTAATGAAAACCAGATGAGGATTTAGATTTTGTACAGTAGAAAATTTATTAGATTAGTTTCAAGGCTTTTTTCCTCATTCTGTAGCTTGGTTTTATCTGCATTAACATTCTTACACTCACTTTGTAAATAATTGTTAGTTTCAGCTCAGGCTCCAAACTCCACCATCACAGCTCAGACTGGTGTTGGGGTGGCATCTGCAGTACACCTAAACCCCATGCAGTTGATGACAGTGGATGCATCTCATGCTCGACATATCCAAGGGATCCAACCAGCACCCATCAGTACACAAGGGATGCAGCCAGCTCCCATTGGGACACAGGGAATACAGCCAGCCCCAATTGGAACACAGGGAATTCACTCAGCAACCCCGATCAACACACAAGGACTACAGCCTGCTCCATTGAGTTCTCAGCAGCCACCAGCTGAAGGAAAAACTTCAGGTAATTTTAATGTTTTACTTGGAAAGTAGTGTTGATGTTCTGACAACTGGCTGGTTTTGTGGCCTCAGGTATTTTCTCTAAACCTTACATATTTTTTTGTAACACATATTGCTTAGGATATCCCTTCCAGGGTCATTGTAAGCATTAGAAGTAACATACTTTGCTTGATGGGGCATTTGCACATAGTTTGAAGCATTCTGCAAAGGGCTTTTAGTTCAGGGACCAAATTTATTTTGTACTGATAGTGCCATCATTCAGCTTATGCTTTTTTAAGGGTTCTGTGTAATGCTGTAAAGGAGCTCTGGTAGCGAACGTTACAAGTTGGGCTGCTAATCTCACGGTCAGCAGTTTGAAACTACTAGCAGTTCCACACAAGAAAAATGAGGCTCTCTGCTCCCATAAAGATTTACAGCTTTGGAAACCCTATACAGCATCACTATGAATCGGAACCGACCCCACAGCACATAATTAATCAATCACTCAATGTAAAGTTGTAAAATCTTATACTAATATTAGCTAATACTATGTCAGTACTTTTAAAAAGAAATACTAATAGAGTAGGCATTTTAAGAAAGGGAGTAAGTCATTATTGTGCTTTTAATATTAATGTGCAATTTCTCAGCTATAAAGAATTTTTCATCCAGGGTTTTGATTTTAAAGATTATAATTTGTGTTATCTGTAGTATAAAGATTTGTTAGTGCTACCACGTCGGTCCCAACTCACAGCGACCCTGTTCAGGATTTCCAAGGAGTAGCTGGTGGGTTAGAACATCCGACTTTATGATTCAAACTGACTTTGTGGTCCAGTGCTTATCCTACAGTGCCACACTGGACTCTCCAGTATGAAGAGAGCAATTTGGAACGAATTATTTTAATTGCTGTCTTGATGTTAAATTTCATTATTAAAATCAAAGTTTTTCTAGACTTTTAAGTTATTAAATGACTGTCATAGAAATGCAGTTGACCAAAAACATGACCCATAGTGACCCAAGTGGAAGAATTGTTGTTAAGTGCCGTCGAATCAGGTCTGACTCATAGTGACCCTGGAAAAATGTTGTACCTTTAATAGTATTTGCTAGAAAAGTCATTTTATTGTTTGAAATTTTAGCCATTTGAAATGTCCATTTTTTGTAGGTCTTCAGATCAACTAATTCTTGATTATGGTCATGCATACCAGTATTTTGATGCTCATTTAAAATATGTTATTGTTAGTGCCAATAGAGTCAATTCTGACTCAGCAAGCCTGTATAGGGTTTCTAAGGAGTGGCAGTGGTTAGCAGCAGTGCTTATCCTACAGTACCACATCAGTTTGGTTAAAATTAGTTATTAGTTGAATGGCTCCCCAGGATAGATCAGAGTGTTGGTACCAGTAGTATTAGGGACTTCTGGGGCAATTTGAAAAAATGTAGGAGCACATTTCTTGAATTATACTTTGGAGCATGTTGTCAAGCTAGCAGACCTTGTTTCCTGTCTATTTGTAACTCTTCTTTCATTTCTCAAATTTGAATAATAATGATAAAAATTATATAATAAAAAACATAAGGTACTCCTTAGAGTGAGATATTCTGTTTACTCTGTGTGCTTTATGTTCCTTAGCTCAATTATTAGTGACTTTGGCACTGTAGGATAAGCACTGGACCACAAGTTCAGTTTGAATCACAAGGATGGCAGTTAAAACTCACCAGCTGCTCCTTAGAAACCCTACACGGTGTTGATGTGAGTTGGAACTGACTCTATAGCACTTAACAACAACATGCTTATAGAGCAAAGAAAACGAATAGTTAATGATCATGTATCAGTAAACTTCATGGCTTCCCTACTTCATGATCTGCTTTTAAGCAGATAAACATTGTGCTCACATCCATTCTTTTCATGAAATTGCACAATCTTCACATAGGTATTCTAATGCCAGCAGTCTGATCCTTTTTATATGACTTCTGTGGCATTTTAGTAATAATGTTCCATCCATTTCCCTGTTTTCATTGTTTTTTCCTGGACCCTCCCCTTCTTTCAGCAGTGGTGTTGGCAGATGGAGCCACAATTGTAGCCAATCCTATTAGCAATACCTTCAGTGCTGCTACAGCAGCCACCACTGTAGTGCAGACCCACACCCAGAGTGTCAGCACCAACGCTCCAGCCCAGGGCTCATCACCTCGACCAAGTATACTCAGAAAGAAACCTGCCACTGATGGGTGAGTAGACTTAGTAATACTAACTAACACTTCCATTTCTGGATATAATTGGTATAAACAATAGACACTCGTCCATTGGTAATTGTTGTTGTAATTGGTTGCCCTTAAATTGATTCCAACTCATGGGAAAACTTTGCAGTAGGATTTTCAAGTCTGTGATATTTTGGAAGCAGGTTGCCAGGCCTGTTTTCCAAGGCCTCTTTAGGTGAATTTGAACCTAAGTTTGAACTAGTAGTTGAGTGCTTTTAACTCTTTGTGCTACCCAGGACTCTTCAGTGCTGGTGGTGGTTGTTGGTAAGTACCGTCAAGTCAGTTACAGCACATAATGACCCTGTATATGGATTCTGAGGAGTGGCTAGTGGGTTTGAACCATTGACCTTGCAGTTAGCAGTCCAGTGCAAATCTTGTAGCACCACACCAGGTACTTTATTCAATGCTGGTAGCAAAATCTAATTTGTCATCCTCTGTGCTGTTTTGTAATTTCCTCCAAATACCTTCCATCTTATTTTGATGCTTTCTGCATCATTCAATATTTTGCCCAAAGAGTCCTTCAGTATTTCAAGTCAAGGCTTGAATCTTTTCATTTCTTTCAACTTGAGAAATGCTAAGCATGTTCTTCCCTTTTGGTTTTCTAGCTCCAGGTCTTCACACATTTCATTAATATTTGACTTTATCTTCTCGAGCTGCCATTTGAAATTTTCTGTTCAGTTCTTTCACCTCATTTCTTCCATTTGCTTTAGCATCTGTACACTGGAGATCAAGTTTCAGAGTCACAGCTGACAACCATTTTGGTTTTTTCTTTTTACCTTGTCATCTTAATGACCTTTTGCTTTGTTTTTTGTGATGTTCTTGATGTTATCCCACAACTCTTCTGGTTTTTGATCGTTAGTGTGTAAATGCATCAAATCTGTTCTTGAGATGATCTCTAAATTCAGGTGGGAAATGTTCAAGGTCATATTTTGGCTTTTGTGGACGTGTTTTCATTTTCTTCACCTTCAGCCTGAACTTGGCATGAGAGTAGTTGATAATCTGTTCCACAGTCTATCAACTTGTTGTGGATGATGATATGAAGCTTTCCCACCATCTCTTTCCACAGATGTAATCAACTTGATTTCTGTGTATTTCATCTCATGAAGTCCATGTGTGTTTTATTTTATTTTACAAAGTTATTTGCAATGACTAAGCCATTGGTCTTACTAAACTCTTAACATGTTTTCTCCAGCATTATTTCTATCACCAAGGCCATATTTTCCAACTACTGATCCTTCTTCTTTGTTTCCAACCTTTGCATTCCAGTCACCTATAATTATCAATACATCTTGATTGCATGTTTGGTCAATTTCAGACTGAAGAAATTGGTAGACTCTTCAGTTTCATCATCACTGACTTCAGTGGTTGGTGTGTAACTTTGAATAGTAGTGGTACTAACTGGTCTTCCTTGTTGTTAAGTTGTTGTTAGTGTCATCTAGTCCATTCCAGCTCATAGCCACTCTGTATAGCGTTTCTGAGGAGCGGCTGGTGACTTTGAACTGCCAGCCTTACAGCTGTTTCTCCTCATTTTGAGTTGTGCCCTACCAACAAATGAAGGTCCTGAAGACTTCTCTTTTTGCGTCATTATAGTCAACTCCACTTTGAGGAGGCAGGTCTGCCTCAGACATATTTGAGTACTTTCCAACCTAAGGTGCACTTTTTCCAGCATCTTCCAGCACTATATCTGGCAATATTCTGGTGCTGTTCATTATATTTCAATATTGTGATGCTGACAGTGTTTCACTACTATTCATAAAATTTTCAGTGGCGCTCTGGTAGCTTAGTGGTTACGAATCGGGCTGCGAACCTCAGGGTCAGCAGTTTGAAACTACCAGTTGTTCCGCAGGAGAAAGATGAGGCTTTCTGCTCCTGTAAAGATTTACAGCCTTGGAAACCCTGTACAGGGTCGCCATGAGTCGAACTGACTCCACGGCACATAACAACAACAACAAAAGACGTAAGTAATCCATCTCTCCTTTCAAGTCTGTCTTAGTCTGGAAGCTCACCATGGGGGACCCTGCTGGCATTCAAAATACCAGTGGCATTTTATAGCTTATAGCAACATGCATGCCACCACAATGCATTAAATTGACAGTAAATTCTCACCAAATAGCTTTTTCCTAATGCGTCTGGGTAAGAGAAGATGCGGAGAAATGCTGATGGATTATATGATTCAGTTGTGAGTGATTGTTAACAGGTCTAATTGTGATTGTAAAAACTTGAAACTCTAATGTGGATATAAAATAAACCATCTCAAAAGCAGAAGGGGGCATTTCAGTACCATCAAGGAAGAAGAGCCAAGAGTGGAGTATGTCCTTCAGGCCCTGCATATTGATCCTCCTTGATTCAGGAAACAAAGCTGAGACACTAAAGGAGTGCCAGAGAAGGTGCAGCAGCAGAACTAAAGCTAGAACATGAGACAGAGCAAGTAAAACTGAGTGCTATTGGACAGAAAACTTGTTTGCAGAGTTGGGTGTCTCCAGGCACTTAATTGGGGAGCTAGGGCTGGGTGCCTTCAGGAGTGAACGTGTTCTTTGGACATTTACCAGTAACCCTAAAAGAGCTATGTAACATTGCCCAGGCAGAAAGAGGGCCTGCTAGTAGGCACAACTGAAGAGAACTGGAAGAACTGTGCCCTGAATTATAACCTGTTAACTTCCCTAATAAACCCTATAACCGTGAGTATGGTGTCTGAGTTCTGTGCAGCCACTGAGTGCTGGGAGAGGGATGATTGGTGCCATATTTTTGCATAAACTTGCTCAGAACATTCTTTTAATAAACAGATGTTACTGGGTTTTGGCCCTTTGGATAGTTAACAAATGAAATGTCTTGAAAATCCCCAAAACCTGTTTTCATGACCTTTGGTCTTGACTACTCTCTGTTTGCCCTGACTGGACCACTTCCACATCTTGGTGGTGGTGGTTGTTGTTAAGTGCCGTCGAGTCAGTTCCGACTCATAGCGACCCTGAACAGGGTTTCTGAGGCTGTAAATCTTTATGGGAGCAGAAAGCTTCATCTTTCCTCCCACAGAGCAGCTGGTAGTTTCAAACTACTGACCTTGCAGTTCGCAGCCCGATTCATAACCACTACGCTACCAGAGCTCCTGTCCACCACTCGGTAGCCATTGTTTTAATTGTGTTTTGTCTTCAGGATCATCATACTGGTAAAACCATGTTTCATCTCCTGTTACAATTCTTTAAAGAGATACTTCAAGATCTTGGTCCCACTTATTTAAAATTTCTACTGAAAGCTCTGCTCTAGTCTGCAGCTGCTCTGGGTGTAACAGTTTGGGCATTCTTGGATCAGAAATCTTACTCAAAAATTTCAGTCAGAATTGTTTAAGCTGAACCAATTGAGATATCTATGGTGTTGTCTATTGCTTCTGCTTTTAATTATCTGTCCTCTAAATTAGAGCATGAAAAGCCTTTATAGGCTTCATTTTCAACATCATCCCATCTCTTCTTAAATGGGGATATGCATTTGTAAGTTGCTGCTTTCTTTAGGGACATTGTCCCCATAAAACTAATTAATGCATCAGTGATTTCATCATTCTACCCAAATGTCATCATAAATTTGATGCTTGTTCTTGCTTAAATTTTTGCTGAATTCATGTTGATCTGATAGAGGCTGTTTTCAAACTGAGATCTTATTAATCTCAGTATTTCAAACTAGATCCTGTTGAGATATGTGATAACGAGTTAGTATGAGTTTATATTGGTACAAAAACATTTTGAAATTCATGCAGTTTTTTCATAGTATGCATTTTCCATAACTTTTTGAAGACCCCTGGTATATACTTATTACAGTGTGACATCTTACCATGTTATTTTGAAATGAATCCCAGAAGTCATGTCACTTCATTTGTATCTCTTTCGTCTGTTGTTAAGTGCCACTGAGTTGATTCCGACCCATAGCGACCCTGTATAGGGTTTCCAAGGAGCAGCTGGTGAGCTTGAACCACTGACCTTGCAGTTCAAACAATTTTGCAGCTGACGCATTAATGCACAGTACCACACCAGTACTCCATATAACTCTTTAGTGTCATCAAATGTCCAGTTATTGTTAAATTTTCAGTTGTCTCAAATGTCACACATTTTGTTTTGTTTTTATTTTCTTGAATCAATATTGAAATGGGTAAGCTTGCACACATATTGTGTGGTTAGTAGATAAATCTTATAAGACTATAAATATACAGATATCTTCCATATGTATTTCTTTGTTGTTGTTATGAACCCAGGAGTCGGTTCCGATTCGTAGCGACCCTGCATAGGGTTTCTGAGGATGCAAATCTTTAAGGGAGCAGAAAGCCTCATCTTTCTCCCACAGAACAGCTGGTAGTTTCGAACTGCTGACTGTGAGGTTAGCAGCCCATTTTGTAACCACTATGCTACCAGAGCTCCTTCAATTGAAGAAGCTTGGTCTTAGACTTCTTCACTCTCTCTGGATTTTGCTGATTGAATCTTCATAGTGTAGTTTTACTTCATTTTCCCTCCACATTTCTGTAACTTATAACTGAATCTAAAGTCTTGATTAGAATTACCTTTTCTTTTTTCTGACAAGACTAGTTTGTTGTTGTTGTTGTTAAGTGCTGTCAAGTCGATTCCGATCCATAGCAACCCTGTATAGGGTCTCCAAGGAGCAGTTGGTGAGCTTGAACCACCAACCTTACAATTCAGATGACTTTACAGTCTAACACATTAGCTCACAGCGCCACACCAGGACTCCAAAACTAGTTTGTAGGTAGTGTTATTTAGTCTTTTACTGGAGACGTGAACATCTACCTAGTGGTCATCTTTTTTGAGATGTTAGCTTCCTTGATGCTCATATCCAATCATTGTTGTTCGTGTTAGCTGCTGTCTTTTGAGTTGGCCCATGAATCACAACAAAATGTAGCCCAATCCTGTACTGTTCCCATGATTGCCATTTTAAAGTGCTATCGAATTGTTCCCAACTCATAACAACCCTGTATA